CATATATATATATATATATATATATATATATATATATATATCGTCAAATAGAACTGCCCGGTAAACCGTAGGCAGAGAGGGAGAAGAGGACAACAAACGAGGGGCTGTGACAAACTGTTTCGTCGGAGTTTCACCGACTCATCAGGAGAAAGGCGGTGAAGACGGGGGGGATGAAGTCAGGGGTGATGAAGTCAAGGGTGGTGAAGTGGCTGAAGCAGAGACAGGGGGGGCAGTCGTAGTTGAGACCCGAAGAGGAGACTCTGCAGGTGGTAATGCAGGCATGGCCACGGATGCCATGGAGGAACACACCAAGACCAAGGGCGACACAGCAGCTGCGGTGGCCATGGATGTCACGGAGGAACACACCGAGATCAAGGGCGACACAGCAGCTGAGGTGGTCACGGATGCCATGGAGGAACACACCGAGACCAAGGGCGACACAGTAGTTGCGGGTCGAGTTGCTCCCGCGGAATCAATTGTAGAAGCAACCAAGGCTGATGGGGAGGAGGCTGCAAACCGAAAAGGGGCAGCCAGGGTCACAAACGGCATGGAAGGGGTTACTAAGACTGATCAGGATGCAGGTGCAACACACGCAGGGAATGAAGAAGAGGTTGTGATAGGTGTGACGGGCGTCGGTAATGAAGAAGGGGCTGTGACAGGCATAGACTGAGGACTGTGTGTGGATACCCGAGAAAGCGGGTGGCGAATAGACCATCAAAGCATGCTGCGGAACCAGCTGGAGAGGCGGGTCGCATGCGCCGGGTACCCGTGTTGACGTTTACGAATATAGGAAGTCCATCCTTTTGCAAGCGTCGTTGGAGAGTGGCCGCGAAAAAGCATGCGGCGCTGCTGCAGTTTTGAAATCATACCAATTATTGCAGACATACTCAAACCTTGAACCCTATATATCGTGAAACATATACCGGGCAGCTCTGTTTGACGGTATATATATAAACTCGGACGAAACAGTTTGTCACAGCTCCTCGTTTGTTGCCCTCCGTCTCTGCCTACGGTTTATCGGGCAGCTCTGTTTGACAATATATATATTTGACGATATATATATATATATTATAAGTAAAAAAAAGATGAAAAGCACCCGAAGACTTGAAGGCTGTTAAAGCAGCTGTTTTTTTTTTTCCTTTTCCTTTCTCTTTTCTTTGTCCACATGCAACACTCAGAACAAAAAATCAGAGCATGGTCACTGCACAGTGCAAACACTTGTATCAAATCGTCAAACATTTTCAAAACATACCTACACATGACCCCTTGTGCTCAATCGAAGGTAGAAAATATCCAACGAGGGCCTTATTCATGATTTTGCTATAGCCCCCACTCACTAAACAGAGAGCAACACCCATCACGAGTGTGTGTACGACATTTAAACTTGGACTTCAACCCTTGTGTTTGAAATTTGCAAATTGAATCAATGAAATAAATGTAATACCTTCATAGTACTCACCACGTCTCTCAGTTTCAAAATTATGCTAATGAAAAAAAAGAAATTTACGGCGCACAACGACGCTTTTTCTACGATACAGATGAACTCTACCTACGCCTCCATGTCATTGCCTATCTTCGAAGTTCGAATTAAAAAAAAAAAAAAAACGCACAGTGGATCTAAACAGAAGAACGGTGTTCTATATTTTTAAACGCCCTTCATTCCTCACAAGCAAATACAAAAAAAAACGCAGAGTGTGAACTCTCCTCTAAAAGACGCTCTAACACTAAGCAAATCAACGCAAGCATGTCATACGTGAAACCAAAAAAAAAACAAAAACGACAAAATAGTCCCACATCTCCACAGACGCACATACATCTCAACATTCTCTCAAACAACTCTATCCCTCTTTTCTCTCCCAAACGCATGTCGAAAAGTTGCAACTTGTACGAAATTCTCTGCCACCGTGGATACAAACCACTGACACAAGGATTTTCAGTCCTTTGCTCTAACCAACTGAGTTACCTGCAAAATTCTCTGCTACTGTAGCCACAACATCCTACCCTTGTTTCCCCTCACACTGTCTAGATCACGACCACAAAAGAACTTAACAACGTCATTCCTCAATTCACTTGAGTCACTTGAGTCACTTGAGTAACTTGAGTCACTTGAGTCACTTGTAGTGACTCACTTGAGCCACTTGTGAGTCAGTTGAGTCACTTGTGAGTCACTTGTGAGTCACTTGTGAGTCAGTTGAGTCACTACAGTAGCTTAAGTCACTTCAGTGGCTCAAGCAGAGGATAAGTAGCTACTGTCACCATAAAGACCAAAGTTTGACGAAGATGGGGGAAAGGGACGCATTGTGGCAGTCGGTGTGCAAGACACACCCACAAGGTATCTGAGCCAACGCGAAGACCAGATGCATCATCGAAGACGAGAAGGGGGAGTCCTGAAAGTGTGTGGGTGTTGAAGATGGGGAACGGACGCATTGTGGCAGTTGGTGTGCACAACACACCCACTAGGTATCTGAGCCAACGCGAAGACCGGATGCATCATCGAAGACGGGGGAAAGGGGAGGCCTGAGAGTGAGTGGGTGTTGACGATGGGGAAGGAACGCATTGTGGCAGCTGGTGTGCAAGACACACCCACAAGGTATCTGAGCCAACCCGAAGACCAGATGCATCGTCGAAGACGAGGGAAGGGGGAGGCCTGAGAGTGCGTGGGTGTTGAAGATGGGGAAGGGACGCATTGTGGCAGCTGGTGTGCAAGACACACCCACAAGGTATCTGAGCCAACCCGAAGACCAGATGCATCATCGAAGACGGGGGCAGGGGGAGGCCTGAGAGTGCGTGTGTGTTTGACATGGCATGGAGGTCATCATGAAATTACACGGCTAAGAACTCCAGCAGAGATTGCTTACGGTTGTCATGTTGGATTTCAAGCTCTTCTGCCCTCTTGTCTTCTTCGGCAAGCTCAGCCCTTTTCGCCACAACTGATTCACTTCTTGCCTTCAAATAGTCCCAGACAGTGTCGGAGACAACACGCACCTGCTCATCATCACCCAATCGTTATGCACACATCCCGACCCCCAACCGTTCCCACCAGACTCCCAAACCACCCACCCATCCTCCTCCCCAACTCCGTGGCCCGGCCCACCCATCCCGCTCGAAAAAAAAACGCCACCCGTCCCCCCACACCCTCATCTCAAATGCCGAACAGAAAACACACATCGGACATCAACAAAGCACACAAAAAAAAGAACGAAACAACACGGAAAAAAAAACGGTGAGCTCGCAGAAGACTCCGTTTCTCCTCTTTGCTTGCTTTTTCAAATTGCTTTCTGTTTTCCTTGTTTTTTTTTAATCCAAAAAGGCTGTGTGTTCTCCTTTCCCTGGCCCAGGCTTCAAAAAAGAAAGGTGACAACCAGGAGCTGCTTGTATACAGTATATCAACCACTCGGCGCGCGTGGATGAATGGTGCACACACGCAGCTGTTAGAAAAGAGATTAAAAAGTTTGCATTATACCGAATCAGATACCACAATAATCTCAAGGGCAGTCCCCTTGGGGAAAAAAAAAAAAAAAAAAAGCATCAGTATCTACTATCTAGTATCTACAGAGTCTACAGACCAACAATGGAATAACTCTGTTGGGCACCAAGAATGAGTACCTTCTTCCTCGTTTTTTAAGGGTTTTTTTTTTTTTTTTTAATTTTAAATTCTGTTCTTTTCTTGTTCTTTACAAGCATCATTAGTGTCTATAGACTCTATACTCTATACTTGAGTCTATAGTCATATCGCATGTCAAATTCACCACGTACTACAGACTCAGTAGTACTCAGTACAGACAATTTTATTTTATTTTTCCTCAGATTGATCTCGGATGGGAAATACCTTCTTACTCCAGAAGAAAAAAAAAAAAAAAAAAAAAAGTTAAAAAAAACTCTTGCCTGGATAACTCACATTGGACAAACAAACACTCTTTAAGAGTCTTAAGGGCATACTCACACTCTCGACTTTTTTACTTGTTTCTGGACGTAATCGTGGTCAGATACATCGCGGTCGGATCAACTCTTCCTGAATCCATCGCTCTCAACGGCAACACTACTGCTGATATCTCAAGGTGGTGGAAGCCCTCAGATCTTCCCCCGAAAACAATGTACCCTCATCACAACCATCCGTATCGGACCAGAAAGAGAGCTTGTATACATTCAAGACCAGGGCGTTTTGCATGCAGGGGAAGAGGGCAGGAGGAGAACGAGAGCTCGTTATAGATCGTCTTATAGTCACTTTGCTCCACGGTCGATACTTATAACCATCAGTACCTCCGAGCCTCTTTTTGCCGAGGTGGCGTGGAACTGCGATCCAAGCTTTGCCGCCAAAAAGCGCTAGCGCGCCCTTTTTTTCTTTCATTTTTTTCAAATTTTTTGGCTTCCACCGCCAGCCATTTTGGTCCGGTGGCGTCCGGCCTCCGAAGAAATGCGGTATAGGTTTTTAGTTAGATTTTCGACTTCGCCTTTGCCTCTGAAAGGTAGTGGTGGGGGTTTAGCGAGCGCGTTTCAACTTTCAATCATGACAAGGTAACAAGATGCAGCCTGAGATAAGAAGAACAATTGATGCATCCAAGGGATCAAAAAAAAAAAATAATAAAAAAAAATCAACTGGTGATGGCATGAATGCCCTTCTTGACAGGGAAAGTGTAAAGTTTCGAAGCATTGAAAAAAAAAAAAAAAAGGGGAGAAAAGATGTTGAAGAAGAGGTAGGTTAAAAAAAAAAGAAGAAAAAAGATTGGACGCCCACCTGATGTGGTCGAGGGGCACCAAAGGTAGCATAACCACAATTTCCAGGGCTGAATGTCACGCGTCCTGGTAAGCTAACCCCGTGTATACCCCATCTCCCAGTGTAGAGAAGTACCTCCTGTTCATTCACTGGTGGGACTGGCTCCTGAGACACAGAATTGCCAATACATGCACATGTCAGGTTGTGAGTCAATCAAAGAACAAACACACAGAAACAGACCAAATACACAATTTGAAATTTCTGTTTTCGAAAAAAGGAACGTGCGATAACCCACACTTTCTGTTTGTTTTTTTTTTTTTTTTTGAACCACTAGTACCTTTGACGGTTGGGAAAATAGGAAGCCTTGGGTGGGCCTCCAACCTTTCAGGACGCCAGAACGCAACGAAACGACGGCCGCCGATGAGATTTATCCGCGCGGCGGCCGTCGTCGGGCCCAGCCCCCGTCTTTTTAGGAGTTTAGGAAAACTGCCAGTTTTGAAGTTTTCCCTATTTTAGTATTTTCCCAACACTGGCGGAGGTACAAATGCTTTACAATGGACAAAAGGCAAAATATTAAAATAATAATAGCACTTATAAGTTATTACTGCTGTGTTGCACAGGCATTTTCGATCCTACTCTTGTCCTTCCTGATCTGCTGCAAGTTGCCCCTCCTCTTGTCGTAACTTCCCTTGTCATTGCTCTGCTGCTCATTTGACTGTTCATCAATTCATTATAGTAAATCAACCCTTATCTAGACATTTGCTCAGATTGCTTGGCAATTCAATTGTGCGGCAATATAGTAATATACCCTTGTCTAGAATCTAGACATTGACAGCTGCACGTCGTGAACATCAGCATTTTGGCGCCAAGCGGTACACACAACATGCGATGTCCAAGCGGTACACACAACATGCGATGACCAAGCGGTACGCACAAGGAGCGGTGCTCAGCAACTTTGGTGCCGAGGGATGTGGGACATGTGATGTTCAAGAATTTCAGTATCGAGGGCTTCAAAGTTTAGACTGAACGACGACATGCGTCCTTCCGGACATCCGTTAAAAGGATTGGAACGATACAGGCACAAATCAAGGATGAGACGCATACGTCGAGAAAGCGTTCACATTTTGAATGCGAAAAAAGAAAAGATGCACGACTTGCAATGTTCGAGAGAGGACTGCAAGGTGCACAGCGTGCAATGTTTGACAATTTTATTGCACGAAGCACCCCGTGACGTGCGACCAGGTACGCCACGCAAAGCAAAGGAACAGTTCTCAATTCAACTTCTCGAAAGTCGTTGAAACAAAAGACACACAGCCCAAACACATGGGCATAATGTGCTCCCCCCATTATGCTATTGCTGGGCAAGACAAATGGCCTCGCCGCACTACTGCTCACCAAACGCACAAAAGACCAAAAATGATGGCAGTGCACCTTTCCATGTTCTAGTGGAAGATTCATTCTCATTTTGTACATTGGATGAGTAGTGCGCCAAGGCCCCAAACACGCACCCATAGCTCGTTTAATTCACACTGAATGCTACGACTTTGAGCTCCCTACTTATGCTGAATGTCCTGCGCCTGCGCTGCCAGGTAGACAACTGCCAGGCAGACATAGTTTCAGAGAACTTTCATCGAGCAAGCATGGTTTGAGCGCAAGAGCTGGAACAGATTTTAATCATTTTATCCGCGTACACACAATCAAGTCTGTGGATTTTGTCAGTCATGCACCAATCAAGCGCAGGAGTTCGAACTTTGTGAAGTTTGAAATTTGACGTGATGGAAAGTTGATTGATTCTTTCTCATGCAAATCCCAACCTTGCGGTTTGCCAAAGCATAGTAACGAAGAGCATGAGAAAAGAAATTAGGGACAGAAAGTCACGAGGGGACGCTGCCTTAACTGTAATGCATCTGCCGATTGTTGATTGGCAAAAAAAAAAAAAAAAAAGGAATAGAGTCACTGTAACACAAACCTGAGGGATCCGAGGTGACTCGTCGAAGATCTGTCGGATCTCGTCTCCAGTCAGCTCCAACGTCTCCATCAACCGTTCTGCAAATTTCCGAAAACAAATGCACACACACACGCACACACACACACACACACACACACACACACACACACACACACACACACACACACACACACACATGATAAAAAAGAACCAGAAAGAAAAGGGGACTTAAAAGTTAAAACAGTATGATAACAAGGACCTTTATCGATGGACTGTTGGGATGGCTGGCAAGAACATCATTCGGTTCTGTGGGTTCATTCATTAAACTTCTTGTTAGCTCATTCAACAAACAGCAGTCTCAGCGACCCAAGTCCTTCGCAAGGTACTCTTCTTGTAATGCAGACAACTCTATTGGAGCTGCTGCTGGCACCAGACTTGCCCTCCAATGGATCCTAATTTTTTCCTGATTAAGTCGGAAATTGTCAAGTTGTCATTCCAACTAACCAGTAATTTACTGGACTCTTTCGAGTCTGGTTAATTGGAGCGAGAACCGTCCGGTAAATTCGGCAGACCGACAGCGTTTTTTTCCTCGACTCTTTCGAGTCCGGTTAATTGGAACGAGAACCGTACGGTAAATTCGGCGGACCGACGGCGTTTTTTTNGTTAATTGGAACGAGAACCGTACGGTAAATTCGGCGGACCGACGGCGTTTTTTTCCTCGACTCTTTCGAGTCCGGTTAATTGGAACGAGAACCGTCCGGTAAATTCAGCGGACCGACAGCGTTTTTTTACTGGACTCTTTCGAGTCCGGTTAATTGGAATGAGAACGGTCCGGTAAATTCGGCGGACCGACGGCGGTAATTGCACTTTCCAAAGTTTCCATTCCAACAAAGTTCGTCATTCCAACTAACCGGTGAAAAAAAAAATTACTGGACTCTTTCAAGTCCGGTAAATGGAGTTTCCCACTGTTCTCATTCCAATTACCGGGGACTCAAAAGAGTCTCGTAACTCTCGTTACTCTCGTATTGTTAGTGGCCATGCAGACAACTCAGTTGGTACACAAGTTTAAAAAAAAATAAAAAAAATGAAGACCGTCCAAAAGTAACTATCAATGAACAGAGCATCAGTTCGTACCCCGTGGAACCACCTGAATTACGAATACACTAACGTTTGGGGCTACATGATTGGACCAAGACGGCGTACTATTTTCAGACGAGGGCCTCTATATCGTGACATAATGCGGGGACGAAACTTCGTAGTAATAAAATAAATGGGCGCAGCTAACTAAATGACATAAGGGCTGCGCGTACTCGGGCTTGGTTGGTGGTGATTTCTATATGTACATTCTTACCACCAACGATAATGAGAAAAGCTACGAAAAGAAAAGGGAGGAAAAGAAACAAAACGAAAGCCCATAAGAATTCCTCCTCCTCCTTTTTTTTTTTGGTCGACTTTTTGCGTAAGATAGTCTTCAGCGGCTGACTGAGCGTAACAAGTCTTGGGGAGGCCCATCTCTCGTGAACCGACGGGATGTAAGCGTTCATCATTTCACAAAACCAAGAAAAAATTCAAAATTTCTAAGAAAGGACGAGGGGAAAAGAACCTGCAGCAGCTGAGATAGCGCAGTGACTGTGTTGACGAACCACCCTCCTCCAGTACTTCACAAATCTCGTTGTTCGGACATCTGA